TCGTTATTTATCATCTGTTATCGTCAATTATCGTTAGTTATCGTCAGTTATCATTAGTTATCATCAGTTATCGTCAGTTATCGTCAGTTATCGTCAATTATCGTTAGTTATCGTCAGTTATCATTAGTTATCATCTGTTATCGTCAGTTATCGTCAGTTATCGTCAATTATCGTTAGTTATCGTCAGTTATCATTAGTTATCATCTGTTATCGTCAGTTATCGTTAGTTATCATCTGTTATCGTCTGTTATTGTCTGTTATCGTTATTTATTTTCAGTTATCGCCAGTTGTCAATTATCGTCTGTTATCGTCTGTTATTATTTATTTTCATTTATCGTTAGTCATCGTCAGTTATCGTCAGTTATCATTAGTTATCGTCAGTTACCGTCAGTTATAAGTCATCGTCAGTTATCTTCTGTTATCATCTGTTATCGTCAGTTATCATTAGTTATTTTCAGTTATCGTCAGTTATTGTTAGTTATCATCTGTTATCGTCAGTTATCATTAGTTATTTTCAGTTATCGTCAGTTCTTGTTAGTTATCATCTGTTATCGTCAGTTATCGTTAGTTATTTTCAGTTATCGTTAGTTATTTTCAGTTATCGTCAGTTATTGTTAGTTATCATCTGTTATCATCAGTTATCGTTAGTTATTGTCAGTTATCGTCAGTTATCGTTAGTTATTGTCAATTATCGTCAGTTATCGGAGGTTCTGTTGGGTTTATTAACCTGCAGGAACGCCCTGAAGATGATCAACTCAGCTGAACCTTCATGGTTTCATCTAAATATAAACCAGCCTGAAGATGTTCTCCTAAGGCAAACCATTCGTTTAAAGTTCAAAGCCTCCTTGTTGGCTGATGAAGCTTTACATTTCTCATTAAACGGTCCTTGTTTGGAATTTAAAATGAAATGCTCCATTAGTGCATTATTGATGACTTTCTCTTTAGTAAATGTCATTTTTAAATAACATCTTGCCACCAACATGGCCTGCAGCGAGCTGAACCTGTGCTGCTCGCTGAAGGTTTGACCTGATTCTACCTTTGATGTGTTTGTCCGCCTGAGGGAAACACCTGTGCTGCTTGGCTGCTCACTCACCTGGACGCCTGAAGCCTCAGTCATCACGCCTGGAAAACCAAATCCTGTTAGTCCACTACCTCAAACACCTACTGGAGAGAAACGTGTTCATCAAACAGAATCAAAGACACTTTAACTTCAGGTCCAATAACTTTACTGTTGATTTAAAATGGAGATCAATGTGTTAAATCTGCTACAGGTTTAACAGAGATCAACGTTTAATGTTGATTTCAAAGAGTTCAACCAACCAAACTGTTCTTAGTTACCTGTGTATATTTGTGTCTGTTAGCAAAATATCTCGTGAACTAATGAATGAATTTTTTTTTTTTTCCCTGTGTCCTGTCCGGCAATGTGAAACTCAGAATTGATGTCTGAGTGTCCAAATGAAGCCCAACAGTTTTACTTTCAATAAGTGCAGCATGATGGCGTTTCACCATGTTGCTCCACTTGATATATATTGAAACCTCTTTTATAAATTACTTTGGGATTAATTCGTAACGGACACCGAGACGGAAAAAGTAAACAAAGAAGAGAAAAAGGAGAAAAGTGAAAAAAGAGATAGAAAGAGAAACAAGACGATATGAGAGAGATGCTTTAAGAACACACAACACATTTGAAGTCTGCCTCCACACCTGCAACTAATAGTAATACTAACAAGATTCAAAATGGCCGCCTCAACTAATCAGCCTTAGCAAACACTACAATCATTTTACCCAAAATTATGTTTTATCGACACAGCTAATATTTTCTTGTGGTAGTAGAGTCATTATCAACATATATTTTAATCTCTAACAAATCATTTGAGATATTTGCTTAAAATTAAGCCTCCCTGGTAAGGTCTATTCAGGGGTCCTGGAGAGGAGGGTCCGTCGGATAGTCGAACCTCGGGTTCAGGAAGAGCAGTGTGGTTTTGGTCCTGGTCGTGGAACACTGGACCAGCTYTACACCCTCAGCAGGGTCCTGGAGGGTGCATGGGAGTTCGCCCAACTGGTCTACATGTGTTATGTGGACTTGGAGAAGGTGTTCGACCGTGTCCCAAGGGGGGCCTTGTGGGGGGTTCTCCGGGAGTATGGGGTACCGGACCCTTTGATATGGGCTGTCAGGTCCTTGTACGACCGGTGTCAGAGTCTGGT